AGGGAGAACAAGAGCCTTATAAAGGGCCAGTTTAGCGTACAGAGGCATCAAAAGCCACGGTTTTGTTAAACCCGAGCATACGATTGGCTGATGAGCTGACAGATTTAATGTGGTCATTCCATGAGAGCTGAGCGCTTAGAGTGACGCCAAGATATTTGACCGTGTTTGATGCTGTGAGAGCAGTGCCGGAAAGAATGTAAGCTGGAAAGAACTGAGCCCACTTACGGGAAATGTGCATAATTTTAGTTTTAGATGTGTTGAAGGTCATACCATTAGAGGCACTCCAAGCACTCGGCTCATAATATCCGGTTCATAAGTGATTTCGTCAAACGCACACGCACCACTGATTGCAGGATTCCATTGGACGAACACTAACTTAAAGGAACCAGAAAATGAACTTTTCTTAGAATAACTTTTTGTGTATCTCTGTACTCTTCTTCCCAGACTGTTTAACATCTTTTTTGAGTTACATGAACTATTTGCATATTCATGAGCAGAACTAGATGTCATCCAAGACACCAAAACTCAATGGCTCAGTTCGAGCGGCTTGTTCTCATATGTTCAAGAACAGTTTGATAGTTGGTTTTGGATCAGCCGCTCGAACGCCGGGAACGTACAACCGGTTATTGCTGGAAGTTAGTCACAGGCAACATGCAACATGGCGGCGTCCATGTATATTATTCGAGGGTTAATGTTTGGATAACTGGGCTGAATTCTTTTCTGTTTAAACAGGAACATTCATTTCTGTGTTATGAACAAGAAGTAATGTTACTTTTGCAAAATTTCCTATAGTCTCTGGCTTTGTAAGCCATCACTCTACTTTTTGCCATGTTTACAGCTGTTCAAAAATCAAAATCTCATGACGAGGAGGGGGTGTCTGATCCTGTTCCGAGAACAGTGTTCTTTAGTCGTGTTCCCACCGTTCGAGCGCAAGAACAAGAAACCTACGTTGAGAGCAGGCCTCCCGATCTGGGCCATTAGTACACTGATTTGTGCACAGAAAATTTTTAGATTTTTTTAAGCACTACTATGGCAGATTTTATTTTCTTTGGCAATTTATTATGTAGTGATATGGAATTGTGTAATACCAGCGGCTGGGGCCGAGTCTATGGTGCCAGCGTGCTATTTTTAGTTACATCTACCCGGCATTAGTGGATTCAATGTTTTACAATGTATAAGATTGGGACTGGAAGGGGCGCGGGAAGGAAATGGTGAGGAGAGTGTGTGGAAGGAGGAGGACGGAAAGGAGGAGAATAAACAGGGATTGACTGGTCCTTCCAGAAGGAAATTTTGAGCCTGTGCAAGACTTCTCATTTTGGGTCTGTTATAAGGTAACGCGGATGGGGTGCTGGAAGGACAGAAGAGAGTTAATAGTCAAACCTGTGAGTGAGGAAACTTTGTTAACTTGTTGATTTGTGAGCGGTACAGCGATAGACTACAACGGTGAGCAAGGCTGTGAGCGACTGTACAGGACCACTTGAACTACTAGTTAAGACTCCTGCAAGGCAGAACCTAGAGTGGACTGAAATTGGTGTGAACCGCATGCTCGTAGCGGTGTTAGCTTTTGAATTCCCGTTCTCCAGCTGTGAGAAAACTCCTACGAGCGCCAGGAGTTACTCGGAACTGAGTTCGGACAGTGAAAGTCAGCTATATCTGGAGGAAAGGGCAAGGAATGAACCTGTCGTCGTGGCTAACTGGACCATTAAAGCGTACGAAAATAGAGGAAACTGGATCGGCTGGGGATTGTAGTGGAGAGCAGGCTGTCGCCAGGAGTGAGAGGACCNCGACATATGCCTTATAGGCTTTACGACTTAAGAACTTAAGCTTATTACGAACAGACTTGTAACAGTTCCAATCTTCAAGGGATCCAGATGATTTCGCTTTCTTGAAGAGCTTGTGTTTCTGTCTGCAGAGGCGTTTCATGTCAGGGTTAACCCAAGGGCAGTTTCTTCGCTTCCGTGATTTTGCTGATCTGCTGGGAAGTGCATCCTTCATGGCTGCGTAGACGATGTCCAAGAACCCTTCCCAGGACTCATTGATATCACCTGTGTCCAGGAACAAGTCCCAAGGAGCATACGCCAGTAAAGCATTTAGGTGGTCCACTGACGCCTGGTTGTATGTGACAAATTGCCTAACTACTGATGACGGTGGAGGAGTACGGCGACAGTTTAGTGTGATTTGGACTGCATGGTGATCACTTGAAACAGGGTTCGGAACTGTTTGAATGTGAGAGACATGTTCAGGAGCCCTGCAGAAGACTAAGTCGATTATGGAGCCCGTGGAGTTGGAGTTGGTGCCCGGACGCGTGACATCACTCACTAGCTGAACAAGGTTCAGCGAGTCAGCAAAATCACACAATGCCAAACGATTGGGAGAGTCAGGTAGATCAGGATTCCAATCAACATTAAAGTCGCCCATCAGGAGAACATTGTCGTACCTTGTACGAATCCAGTCCAAGTTGGATGCCATGTTGTTCAGCTTATTCCAGTAGGATGACGCTTCATTTGGGGGACGGTACAAAGCGCCTACCAGCCACTTGACTTGCCGGAAAGTGCAGCAGACCCACAGAAGCTCAAGATCAGGGCACTCAAGCGCCTCCATGCGGACAGGCTCCAAGTTCTCTTTAATGGCAACCAGCACACCACCTCCTCGTCGTCCAGGACGATCTCTCCTGAAAATTGCATAATCATCTGCAAGGCCCAGGAGGGAGTCACTATCATGACAGTCGAGCCAGGTTTCAGTTAAGGCAAGAATATCGGGTTCACTGTCAGCAGCAAGAAAGGAGGCAATATCAAACCCCTTGTTACACACACTGCGTGTGTTAAGTAGCAAGGCAGTCACCTGCTTTGGCCTGGGTACTACAGCAGCATCACTCAAACTAGCACTGGTCATTCTACATGTTCTAGGTGTGGTGGGTAGTGATGGTAAACTACAGTCCAATATGCCAGGGAGTTCATCGAAGAGACACCTGCAACACAGCCATGTAGAGCTGCTAGAGCTCAATTTCTCGTAGTCAGCAATGCTAATACGAGCACACTTGGCGTGAGTCCACAAGTCACATGTATCACAGCAGATGCCGCGTTGGTTTGATTTCACTGGCTGATCACACTGAGTACAAGGGTACTTTACAGGGCCGGGATTGGCTTCGATGTCACCAGCACATAAGATTGGACGAAAGCAAGCTGAGGAGTTGTGATAGTAGGCGACAGGCCTACTGAAGAGCTTCAATTTGTGCCGCGACGAAGGACTGTCATGACTGTTGTCANGGGGGACGCTCAAAAAACAACATGGCGGCATACTGTCGACAATACACGTGTGACACATAGCAAACGCACACGTCATCATACGCACGGCGACGGGTCAACAAACCTCCACTTGTAAGCCTCAAAAAACCACTGACAAACACGTTTCCCGGGAGAAATCTCAGTCCAGTAGGTGCTTCAGGGTCAAATGTGTACGCAGACGTCAAATTCTGAGGTTTCAAGCCATTACAAGCACAGCAAACGACGATCAAACAGAGCGCGAGCACGAAGGTACGTGTGGTCGCCATGGCGCCCTCAACCTCTTCTGAAGAACTTGATGCTAGATGTAGTTATTTAGCAGGGTGAACTCTTAGTGTTTACTGGCTGAAGACTCAGTGTGCAATGAAACAAAGGACAATGTGCTACACAGGTGCCTAGAGGGGGTCACTAAATAAATGAACTCATAAGGTCCTAGAGCTATGAAGTCACAAAACAGCTGACTTGGCACAGCCAACTGAGGGCGCTAGGCAAATAACATACAAAGTGACCTGTCACATTTGGTTTATGAAAAAATTGCTCCTTCACCATTTTACTGCAATGCCATTCAGCAATACACGTACATGTACATGTATATGCCTAGTGCTAGTAAGTAATATTGTCAACTATACAAGTTTTAGGCCTAGTACATGTACATGTATGACACTTGAAATGCAGAAAGAGGAAAATAAGGCTAAAATAGGAGAAAAATTTACCGATATATGCTACATTGTGTATAATCTGGCTAATTACATGTATTGTAATAGCTGTGGAGGTCATGCTACATAGAATTGCATGCATTCACTTGTCCAAATTCTACACTTGGACCATTTTTTGCCTCTTTTCCCATCATTATTTACTTACACTTTGGGCAAAGTTCACTTGTACATGTATTCACTTTTCACCCCTATTGATATGATTTTTTGAGAAAGTTACATGTACATGTACTTACCTTTATTTCAGATAGATGATGGCAGGTGTAAATCTTTTGTTTTTCTGCCGACATGTACATATGTGACCTGTCACGACAAAATGAGAGTAAAGTTGCATCCCACTCTTTCCCGTTTTGAGGGTTCAGAGTTATTTTGAAGTAGAGGTCAATTTTGGGGTTTTGTAATATTTGGAGAGAGTAACCCG